ACCATTTTGGAAACAACTTGGCATTATTTGGTTAAATTGAAGACGCACATACCCCGTGACTCAGCTCCACTCCCAGCTGTAGCCCCTGGAGAGGCTGGGCACACATGTCCCAGGAATGTGGACAGTGGCACTATTTGTCTCAGCAAAATACTGGAAACAACCCAAATATCCACCAACAACAGAAAAGATAAATAAATTCTCATACAATGGAACATTATTCATCTGTGAAAATGAAATACCACTCTATGCAACATGGATTAATGTCAAGGTGCTGAAGAAAACAGTATGATTATATTAAGTTCAAAAACCAGGAAAATTAAATGGTACATTGTTCAGCAAGACAAACACATGGTAAAACTATAAAGAAAAGCAAAAGAGTGATAAGAGCGAAACTCAGGGGTGACTTGGGCTGGGCGAGATAGGGAGGGGCACACGGGGGGCTCTAAAGGTGACAGTGAGTTCTTTTTGGAAACTGGATAATGGGTACCTGGAATATGTTTCTTGTATCCTTATTCTTTACACTGAACACATTCTTTTGTATCAAGTCAACATTTAACAAAAACAATTTACAAAATTAAACAACGTATTTTCTTACTTTAAACAATGTTGTTAAGGGTTCATTTGGGCTGCTGACTGAGTCACAGTAGCTGGGGAAAATCCCCGAGGGGCCCCTCATGGCCTGGGACCACTGAAAGGAGAAGTGCTTTGCTCTTTGAGCTATGGTGATACAGCTTCCCATGGGGCAGGCTGGCAAAATCCGAGTCGAGCCTGCCACTGGGGACAGGAAAGTGGCTACTTAGATTACTAAGTTCCAGTATAGGAAGTGGTGAGGCTGGGGAGTGGAGAACAGATTCTACTGCCAGACCTTTTAAGACCAGAAGCCGAGCAGATTTTTGATGTTACAATGAACCCACCAAGCCTGCTTTCTGGCCTGCTCTCTACTCGCAGCGGGAATTCCCACCTCTGAGTTCTGTCCACACTGCTGTTTAGATATGAGTGAACAACTCTCAATTCTCACCATGCCCTTTGCTTCCTTCTTTCCTTCCTTTGTAGCCCAGGCCCTAAGAACCATCTCTCTTCAATTCATAACAAGCATGTTTGAATCCAAGAGCCCAAGCGCCAGTTTTCTACATGTATCTGTGCTGACTGTATTACTGAGGTCAGCCTTAGCCACCCTGGGACTGTCAAGCATTGATGTCCGTAAGGAGTTCCTGTGCTGACACTCCACATACACGCCTGCAGCAAAGCTGAATCTCTTTGAGCCACAGTCCTTACTCTCTGACCTCTATTATTTCAATCATTTAAAAACTGTGGCCATGGGAGGCTGAGATAGGAGGGTCGCATGAGCCCAGGAGGTTGAGGCTGCAGTGGGCTATAATCCTAGCACTGCACTCCAACCTGGGCAACAGAGCAAGACTCGGTCTCGAAAATTTAAAAACAGTTTTAAAAAAAAAAAACAAAAAAAACATACTATGACCAGCAAAAGAAGTAGATTATGATCTCCAGGACGATATGCTTTGTACACAAAATGTATTTGGAGTTTTTTGTTTTAATTAAAGTTGAGCTCCCTCCCAACTATGACGTCAAATGTCAAACCCAATAACGGGTCACCCTGCAGGACACCCCTGCTGACGTCTGTAATCCCGGTCCTTTGGAAGGCCGAGGTGGGTGGATCACCGGAGCCAAGGAGTTCAAGACCAGCCTGGGCAACACGACAAAACCCTATCTCTATAAAAAACAGAAAAATTAGCCAGGTATGGTAGTGTGTGCTTGTAGTCCCAGGTACTTGGGGAGCTGAGTCAGGAAGTTTGCTTGAGCCAGGGAGGTCGAGGCTGCAGTGAGCTATGACAGCTCCACTGCTCTCTAGCCTTGGCCACAGAGCAAGACCCTGCCAAGAAAAAAATAAATAAATAAAAAATGTTATCTGAGGCTGGGTTTGGTGGCTCAAGCCTTTAATACCAGCACTTTGAAGGCTAAGGCAGGAGGACTACTCGAGCCCAGAAGATTGGGACCAGCCTGGTATACCCTTAAGAACCTCCTGATTTTTCAACCTTGTGAATGCATCCCCATACCAAACACTGTTCTCTTCCTAAACTGCAGATTTTCTTTTTTGACCCTCAGGAGTCTTCTATCAAATAACAGTAATTATGGAGCCAGGGACATGACTAAGCACTTTACATGCATAACTTTATTAATAACCCCACCCAAGAAAGTTATATTCAAGGTAACTATTATCTCCATTTTACATCTGAGCAAAACTGAGGCTTCTCTGCCCAAGGGCCTATAGGTAGTAACTCTAAGACCCAGACATGAGCCCAGGTATGTCTGGCTTAAAAGTTCATGTTCCTAACTGCTATCCTATACTAAAGGGGTTTCTTAACTGGGGGCGATTTTGTGCCAGGAGACACTTGGCAATATACGGAAACATTTTGGGATGTCACCACTGGAGAAGAGTTACTACCGGCATTTATGGTTAGAGGCCAGAGATGCTACAGGAACACCCTCTGCCCCCAACAAAGATATATCTGGCCCCAAATGTCAGAAGTGTAAGGTTGAGTAACCTCCTATACTGGAACAAGACAAAAAGACACAGAAACCATCTTCTGACCAAAACTCTCACAGTGAAGGTCATAGTTCACCATGTCTACTTCCCATATTACAGCCAAATACCCAAGAAACAAACAGCATGCCCAGCCCTCATCACATGGAGTTTCTCCAGCCCCAAATGCCAGTTCCTCCTCAGCCAATCAAGACTGATGATCCACTCATCCAACATTTGCTGAGCACCAGCTGTGTGCCAGGAAACAAGCTACACAGTGGCAATGCCAGAATAAATAAGACCCTGTCCCTGCATTCGAGACGCTGGTGGTCTCATGGGAAGACAGGCAAGGAAGCCTAGGATCATAACTGAGGTGAAAATGTGTTAACAGAGATCAAAAACAGGATGCTAAGTAACCACAGGGGAGGGGTTCCAAACACACTTGGGTTAGGGTATCTGGGAAAGGCTCAGAAAAGGCTTCCCAGAGGCATCTGAACTTGAAGGAATTAAACTGGCAGACAGAATCCTCAAAACACCCCTTATCAAATCTCTCAGGATATGGTCTCTGGAAATCCAAGGTTTGATGACTTTAATTAGAAAGCTTGGGGGAACTCTCACAGAAAACAGGGGCCACAGAGCAATCCTCGACCCTCCATGCACAACCTAGATGGCATGGTCCCTGCCACAGGGCAGGACGGCAACCTGGCCTCCCCATAGGTTTGGGCCTTCCTCAACTTCCATCCTGACTGGCCCCCAGCTTCCAACCATCCTGTATCTTGCAGCAGGAGGCAAGTAACATTTCATAAATGTCCACTATACCAGGGGTCCCCAACCCCTGGGCCATAGACCACTACTGTCCATGGCGTGCTAGGAACTGGGCTGCACAGCAGGTGAGCGGCAGGCGAGTGAGTGATGCTTCATCTGTATTTACAGCCGCTCCCCATCGCTCACTCGCCATTACCGCCTGAGTTCCATCTCCTGCCAGATCAGCAGCGGAGGCAACAGATTCTCATAGGAGCAAGACCCTATTGTGAACTGCGCAGGTGAAGGATCTAGGCTGCATGCTTCTCATGAGAATCTAATGCCTGATGCTCTGTCACTGTCTCCCATCACCCCTGAATGGGACCATCTGGTTGCAGGAAAACAAGCTTAGGGCTCCCTTGATTCTGCATTATGGTGAGTTGTAGAATTATTTCATTATATATTATGATGTAATAACAATAGAAAGTGTATAGTAACTGTAATGTGTCTGAATCAACCTGAAACCACCTTCTACCTTTAACCCCCTGTCCACGGAAAAACTATCTCCTGCAAAACTAGTCCCTGGTGCCAAAAAGGTTGGGGGGTGCAGGCCGTGCCACAGCTGCTGGACCCGGGCATGGACCCGTGAGGCAGTGGCACAGGGACTCCAGATCCTGGAGGCCGTGCATGGGGCAGGAGGTGTGAGGCCACTGCCTGCCCGGGGCTCGGAGAGTTGGGGAAGCAGGGTGGGGCGACTGGATAAATTGACCATTATCTC